TCAAGGCACTGTATTGGGTCCTACCCTTTTTATTATGTATATAAACGACATTATAAAGGTTGTGAAAAAATGTAAAATCCAATTATTCGCAAATGACACAATATTGTATGTGGTGAGTAGTAATATACAAGAAGTTATTACAACATTGCAAGAAGAATTAGATAATTTAACACTTTGGCTCAATAACAATTTTTTAAAACTCAATGTTAACAAAACAAAATTAATGATAGTTGATAGAATGATGGAATAAAAATAATAACTTAAATTGTACAAATATAAATAATGTTAAAATAGAGAATGATTTAATTGAAAGGGTAGATAAGTTTAAATATTTGGGATCTATTATAGATGAAAATCTAAATTTTGAAGAACATTTTAAATTTGTAATCAATAAAATGGCTAAAGTGCGTTCATAAAGAAGGGAGAGTAATAAAAATGCAAATTGGGATAAATTTTGTACTGAGTGATCAATCACTTTTTCTTCTCTTTTAAAAATACAATAGAACCCAAAACCGAGAACAATAGAAGGCAAGGGATAAACTATTCTCATAGACGCCGCAATTGGGGGAAACTTACATTTCTAGTACCGTGTTTTATAGGTATTAGCATGTAGTACTATTCCTTGCTACATACCCTTTCATTTGAGTCCATATTAATTCTATTGTATTAAGTTCACAATGGTAAGGCGGCAGTCTTGATACTGTTATGTTTCGTTTTTCAGCCATATCATCGACAACTTTCTTATTGAATTTTTCTTTGTGGCTATTTACCAATGATAGTAGTTCTTTTTGTACCATATCTGCCTCAAAATTTATGTTTTTTTTTTTCTGAAAGCCATTTACAAATATCAGCTTTTCTCCATGCTGTGGTTGGTACTTTTTCAAGGTTTCTGGAATGGTAACTGGCGTTGTCCATTACTACTACTGAACCAGGAGGTATTAGGTCTAACATTTGCTGAAAGTATTTTTCAAATGTACCGCCATTCATGTCCTCGTGATAATCGCCAGTATGGTTTAACGGAAAGACCAAAAGACCTCCTTTTACAAACCCTTTTTCATTGCCAATATGGACAATTATCAAACATTTCCCTTTTCCTGACGGCGGCTTCAGCCCTGTCGACCAACCTTCCATGAATGCCTGTCGGGCACTTTTCACATTTTTGTCTTGCCAATGTTTGCCAACAGTGTGACCTTCATTTACCCAAGTTTCATCAAGAAAATATATATTTTTGCCCTGACTTCGAAATTGCCTAATTTGCCTTAAATATTTTCTTCTCCAGCAAACTATCTCGTCACTTTCTATTAAAACCGCCTTTCTGTTATGTTTTTCCCAAGAAAAATTAATTTCTCTTAAGGTTTTCCACAATTTCGTTCTTCCAATATTTGGAAAACCACCATCTTATTTTATTGAAGCAAAAACCAACCCATAAGTACCTATAATACCAGGAAGAAACAAAATATGCTAATAATCTAAAATTCTTAAAATCATAAAACAGTGGAAATTTCCTTTCTAAAATAAAAGGAATGAACTAACCGCCTTAATGCATTTTTTTCATCATCATCAAATTTTATTGGTTTTCTCTCAGACTTTGGTAGCGACGATTTTAATGGTTCTAATTTTCTTTCATGTAGTATTCTGTAAATAGCTGATTTTCCAAATTGGGTAAAATTAGAACACTTCGTTACCAACTTATCCACTGTCAATGTTTTATAGTCTTTTTGCAGATTATCGAACACACTAAGAACTTTAATATTTCAGAGAGAATTACTCCTAATAAAAATAATGTTTAGAACCAACCCATAAGTACCTATAATACCAGGAAGAAACAAAATATGCTAATAATCTAAAATTCTTAAAATCATAAAATTATATTATTACATTGCTACTTAACCCTCACTTAGACTTAATCCTCTAATTATGCACCTGAAACGATTATAATGGCATTATCTGCATACCTACGTATTATAGTGCAAAAACAGAACACACATAATAAACAATTTCTCTATCAGGTTAAAATATAATATATATTTTTAACTGCTGTCTTTTTTCTATTTTTTTTTTTTTTTAATTTAAGAGTTGGCAAAACACCTACGCTAATGGTACGCTCGAAAAAATGGGTTTTCAATCGTTTTATTACTCTCTCTTCTTTATGGATAGACTTTAGGAAAATTAACCGTTTGGGCCGTTTGTCTGTTACATTGAGTAGATACATGGACAAAGTTAACTATTTTCGAAGCGATTCTCACACCACATTTGTATTACTGTTCTACCTTATTATTTTTATTGAATACCTAACACACAAAAAGACACCATACGAAAAAAACAAAACAAAGCATTAAGAATTATATTAAATTGCAATAGGTATACACCAAGAGCAGAATAGCTCAATGCTACTAATATCTACATTATGTGTCCGGCAAACAATATGTTATAATACAATGGTATTTATTTATAAAATGCTGAATAATCTATTGCCTGAACATTTGCTCAAAAATTGTGCATTTGTCAAAGAGATACATGATCATAATACCAGGAACAAAAATAAATTTTATATTCCGGCGTGTCAAAATGACAATATTATGGACTTCATTTAAGTGTCAAAATGACATACTTTATGGGATTGAGTACTATAACGATTTCATTATAGTCCTGAGTACTATAATGATTTCATTATAGTACTCAGTACTATAATGAAAAAAAAGTATATAGTAATAGCAGGCACAAATATGAAACATCTATTGGAAACAACAAAATTTAACGATTAAAATTAATTACAAAACCTTTACAATTCGATAAACTGATCTTGGACGTAGGTGTCGAAATTGTCGAACATTGTTTTCCAGTGAATTTAACTTTAACAATATGACAATACAAACAAAAAATTCCGTTGTTACTATGGTTGTCAAGCAGTCAAGCACATTACTAAAATTAGTCTTCTTCAATTATTTTCGATAAACTCAAATGTAACAGAAGAATGTATTGACTATAATCGCCGGAATATAGAATATTGTATGAAATTCGGATCATAAACAATCATTATGATCCTTATAACATAAATATCTATTTTCTACTGACGTTTCATAATACGCCTAAAATCTGTTTCATAATGAATTTCATTACGATACAGAATTTCATTATGATACAGATTTTTCAGCCACTGGAGTCGAGTATTTTGAACATGAACAATGTTTATATAAAAATAACAGACTTGATTTGGAATTTTGGATTGTTTCTATTAGTATTTACCAGAAGAAACAACAAAAAATAAATAAATCGGGTGCGGAATTTATGCCCAAATGACGTCTAGATCTTAATTTTTGAAATTGTCAAGTTGTCAACAATTGTCACCAGTTGAGAAGTTTACTATTCTTATAAAATAAATATGTTCATTCATGCAAGTAAAAAAAATAGTGTATGCAACTCTCATGTAATGGCCATTAATACACTCGCATGTTATACGAAACTCGCCTGCGGCTGGTTTCGTATCCTACAACATGGTCGTGCATTAATGGCTATCATTACATGATCATTGCATAATATACTAATTATATAAACATTGCGCGAACTAGGCATTTCGTACACTGGAGAATCATTTCGCGCACGGCGTCATGGGAACGTTAAAAAAAATCTACATGAAAAAAAAAATGTCACTTCGCAAATTGTCACCAGTGTGCAAACATCATCTTGTAGTAGACAGTTGTAGAAAATATATTTTCTACAACTGTCAAAAAAAGATGATGTTTGCACACTGATGACAATTTGCGAAGTGACACTTTTTTCCCAGCTATGGTTTTTTTTAACGTTCCCAGGACGCCGTGCGCGAAATGCTTCTTCAGTGTGCGAAATGCCTAGTTCACACACTGGATCAGGTATTTGTCACCTGACAGGAAACCAAAAATAATTAAAATTCACCTGCCTTCGATTGTAAATGCAATCTTAGCTTCGAATAATCGATATATTCAAATGGAGTTGTAGAAAAAATATTGTTTGCAACTCGTGCGCGAAATACGGCATTTCGCGCACTAGATATAAAAATAACTATATTGGACAAACTTCAACTTTTATTGAAAAACACTCAATTAAAGGATTGTTATTCACTATAATATATTAGCGTTTTTTTCTGTGTACGCAAATAGATATTTATTTTATTAGGAGTATAAGTAATACTTATGTGACGCGCATGGAAGTTTGAACGCCGAGCTCAGCGAGGCGAATCAAATCCATGCAAGTCGCATGAAGAATACTTATACTCCAAATGAAATACAATATTTTATTTTCAAACAATCTTTATTCCGAATAGTGCAGAATTTTTGATTTAAATCGTGATATTCGTATTTAGAAGGATCATCTTTATAAGCATCTATACCTGTATGTACAGGTGAACTACCTTAAATCGCTATGGAAAAACATGTGTAGCGGCGTAAAAGTGTTATACTCCGGCGAGGTATAACACTTATACGCCGCTCAAGCTGAAAGTTATTGAAGTGACACTTAGGTATACCTTGTCAAAATGATCACAAAAATTACTGTTATATGACGTTCGAAAATAAACTATTTTATATAACATTTTCCACTTTTCATCTTCCTGCCCCCGGACTGTTTTTCGGCCTTTTTCAGATTATTTTATTTTTATTTAATAACTCACAAAAGAAGAAACGGTGATTGGTTAGGATCCTAACTTGCCGCAGTATGCAAAATATATAATTTGTATCAACATTAGATAATAATAATGTGTATTTCCCAAAGTTCCCACAAACAATTAATAATTCATTGATTCATTAAGAGCCAAATTAAACAATGTAATTTAAATGGACATGACAATGAAATAAGTACATTTAGTGGTTTTCGGTTCCGTTACGTTCAAATATTAACGGTATATTTTTAGGCGCATCGTCATTTTCCTTTGAGCTGAATTTAATTATGTATTTACTATTTAATACAATACAAACAAAGATCTCGATACGAGTAAAAATATGTATTACTTATAATCAGCTACTCACCTCGTAAAATGAACCATCAATCAATGTATTGATCTTAGTATTCTTAGTTATTTATCATCGACAAATTTGGCTTCTAAGCTGTTAAATTTATTGCGCTTTTCACTTTACTAAACCATCCATGTTCATTGTTAGACATTAGCGAGTGGATCCAAGGTTATAATTAATATTATCAGGCTGATGCTATACATACTAAATCTCTTCCTCATTTGATTACTTAATTCTATACTTTTTAACAATAAATAATAACGGAAAGAGTATTTATAATTTCACGCACTATGCACTATACTACGTTGTTTTATTATAAATGTAAATGAGCGTGTTCCAGATTTGGATGGCTATTTATTTTTAAAATGTTTGCCAATGAATTTAGGCATGTGGGTTTGGGATTAAATCTATGACTGAAATGTACTACTTTATTTTAGATATGTAGGTAAACAATACATTTGTTTAAATAGATGTATTTTTTTTTATTTGAATGAAAACAGACCAATTTTGACGTAATTTAAATGCGGTTGAAATGAATTCAACAGAAGCGAATTATCTAGGAATATGCAACTGTTTAATAGAGCTTCCAAAATTATAACATAACATATCGTCTTTTATTATTTTTGTTAGCAATGTTCTGCTAAGGTAAGCGTATCGAAGCGGACTTGAGAACAATATTCTAAAGAGATTAAAAAAAAAGAGCCAACGGTGCGAACTACTTGCAAATAATTCTAGAAATTAGGTACCTACCTAACTATCTTCTATTAAATATACTAAACTCTGTCAATGAATTCAAATCAAAAACTTAAACCTAAATGTATTGTATATATTTTTTCTAGATCCATTTCAAAATTATCTTTTCCTTTGACAAATATTCAAATACATAAACCAGGAACAAATAAAATTTAATTAATATCTCTATCTCTCCGTTGAATATTGCTATTGCTAACAACTGAGAAATGGTCTCTTTGTTCCAGATATTCATTGTTCGGATGGGGTTTGCCCTGCATATTACTTGTAGCGAGCGTTTTACTACAATACAGTGATAAGCAAAATGGTGGCGTCCTGCATAGTCAACAGAGCGAAATCAAAGGGCAGCAGAGGACGTGCTGGTGAGTAGACATTTCACATGAAACAAAATAACGAACTTTGTTATATAAGGGCGGGTATTATAAAACTATTTTGACAGAATAACTAAAAGTTAACTTCTCTGCAATGACGTTACTTCTCTAATGCGAAGTTAACTTTTAGTTATCTGGAAGGAGTGGTCCATATCTCAAAGTGGAGTTGAAATTAAATTTAAAAAAAAAAAAAAACTCAAAGACTAAAAAAAAAAAAAATAGGCCGGCAGGCAGGCCGGGTGACGTCACGAGAACCGACCGATTTTTGCGCTGGCTTACATAGGGCGTCGCAATGTTTTTATATTTCAATGTTGGTAAACAATAACTTTGGCAAATGTCTGTCATTTTTATGGTTAAATCTATCAATAAGAAGAAAAAATAATAATATACAAATATTAATTACATTTTATTTGGCATATATTCAAAATAAAATATAAATCTTTAACACAAATAACCGAACACAAACCTAGGTATGTAGTTAATTATTATGGTACATATTTCAAAATCAAAATCAATCAAAATCAATTCTTTTATTTTGCCATATGTGAAAATTACAATAAAGTAATATACTGTAAGTAATATTTAGGTAACAACTTTTAATATGATTTAAATAAAAATAAATTTTTCATGATATACTTGAAAATCTTTAATTACCTATTTACAAAGTTTTCCCGATTAATACGTTTAAGCCAAAGATCTGTTTTTTCGTTTTTTTTTTTTTGGAAATAAAAATACCGATTTATAGTGTCCCCCATAATGTTGGCTACATATTGGGCAATTTTTTATTTGTAGGATATGGAATTTTATTTTGTGTGCAATCGATCCTGCATGTCCGATAACCTAAGCGTACATTTAGACTTCGATTACGTGATCACTGTAGTGGCGGCAAATTCGAAAATGTTGATATGAAAACGCGAAAAGTGGGGTTAGATGGCAAAATATCGGAAAAAGTTATTTGCAAAAAGTGAGTAGAACGATGTTTTAGGGCTGTCTACGAAATTTGGAGGAAAAGCAACAAAAAATAGGAAATTACTTGTTTTTCGCCATGGATCTCTTATCAAATAATATCATACAGTTTTTATCATTCAAATAGGCCAAGTACCTCAATATTTAATGTGTATTGCTAAAACAAACTCAAATTCTTAGTTGGAATCATTCCTAGAGAATTAAATAAAAATATTCAGTTCGCACATGAAACTTTTCTGTAGCAATACCCTGTATCTTGACAGTTGGGAACCTGTTTTAGAACTGTATTGAAATATACCGGGTGTCTACGAGATCAGTTTCGCGCTGGCATTTCAATGGCAAAGATTTTTGGTATGAAGTGTAGGTTTGAGAAATGTCATCTTTTGACATGTGTGTCAATGTATGGTAACTTTCGGTTTGACTGGAAATGGTCCTAACTCCGTAATTTCGAATGGCATCTCAAGAATTTTTTCGCATTTTTTGGATCTGCAAATCATGATGTGTATGAAAACGTCAAATTTGAACATTTTTGAAGAAACTTTAGAATCCTGGATCAAAATTTATTTTTGAACAGAAAGTAACATAAAGGTCTTAAAATGGTTATTTTCAACTCACACGATCATTGAAAAATGCGAATGCCAAGTTGTTATCCTTTGCTTGTTCTCCAAAGGCTTTCAAAGTTGGAAAAATCACATTTTACGTGATAACTCAATGAAATCAGTGAAATCACCCAACTTTCACAACAAAAGTTTTTTACCTTTTCCAAAATAAAACCAACTATTTATTAAAACTTTTCATTCATGCCAGTTTTTAATTATTTTTTCATTATTTTTATTATGCACTACTATAAATGATAAAACTACTTATAAATGAACCCCTGTATTCAAACTTTGTATTTACAAATTCCCGAGATGCCAAACAATGACAAATAAACATATCTTGTCCACATATCTTGTCAATAGCTTGACAAGAAAAAAAGACCACCAGCTCCTTTTAGAAAGCGTTTTTTTATACAGGGGTTCATTCATAAGTAGTTTTATCATTTATAGTAGTGCATAATAAAAATAATAAGAAAATAATTAAAAATTAACATAAATGAAAAGTTTTAATACATAGTTGATTTTATTTTGAAAAAGGTAAAAAACTCTTGTTGTCTTGTTGTGAAAGTTGGGTGATTCCACTGATTTTATTGAGTTAGGTATCACGTAAAATATAATTTTTTCAACTTTGGAAGTCTTTGGAGAACAAGCAAAGGATAACAACTTGGCATTCGCATTTTTCTACGGTCGTGTGAGTTGAAAATAACAATTTTAAAACCGTTTCGTCACTTTCTGTTCAAAAATAAATTTTGATCCGGAATTTTGAGATTTCTTCAAAAATGTTGAAATTTGACGTTTTCATACAAATCATGATCCGCAGATCCCAAAAATGCGAAAAAAATCTTGGGGATGCCATTCGAAATTACGAAGTTAGGGCCATTCCCGGTCAAACCAGAATTTACCAAATATTGACACACATGTCAAAAGATGACATTTCTCAAACCTATACTCTATACCAAAAATCTTTGTCATTGAGAAAAAAAAACCAGCAAATGCCAGCGCGAAACTGATCTCGTATACACCCGGTATAGTAAAAAATCTCAATAACGGTTCTTTTCAATTGTTGTATCAACAGTAAATTATTGGAAATCTCACAAACTGCTACACAAAAATTTCATGTGCTAGTCGAATATTTTTATTCAATCCTCTAGGAATCATTCCAATGAAGAATTTAAGTTTTTTTTACCAATACACTTTAAATATTGAGATACTTGGACTATTTCAATAATAAACACTGTATAACATTATTTGATAACAGATCCATGGCGACAAACGAATAATTTCTTGTTTTTTGTTGCTTTCCATCCAAATTTCACAGACAGCCCTAAAACATCGTTCTAATCGCTTTTTTCAAATAACTTTTTCCGAAATTTTGCCATTTCGCGTTTCCATATCTAAATTTTTGAATTCGCCGCCACATCAGTGATCACGTGACCAATGTCAAAATGTACTTTTAGGTTATCGGACATGCAGGATCGATCGCACATAAGAAAAAAATCCATAACCTAGAAATAAAAAAAAATCCCATATCAAACATTTTGGGGGACACTATATTGCCGATGCATTTTTTGGTTTTATCGTAAATACTTTGGCACCCTGGAGAACGGCTCTGTAATGAAAGAGCGCTGCACAAAAGAGCGCCGTAGCGAAAGAGCGCTGTAACAAAAGAGCGCTGCACAAAACAGCTCTGTAACAAAAGAGCGCTATGTAACAAAAGAGCGCTGTAACGAAAGAGCGCTGCACAAAAGAGCACTATAACAAAAGAGCGCTATAACAAAAGAACGCTGCACAAAAGAGCGCTGTTTATGTTAGCCTATGTTGACATTAATTTGTTAATGACGTAAAATATGTGAACCTGTCTATATTTTGACTGATAGCCAGTAGCACCAGTATTTCATATACTCTCCACACAAAAAGTCACGAAAAAGTTCATCTTTCAACGCTCATGTCTCAAAGACCGTAATACCTACAGGATTTCGTCCCATTTAAAGGTTGTTAAGAATTAAATCCTTAACAACATATCAAAATTTGAAAAAAAGCGACCGATCGCCGAAATCCCATATAAGGTGTGCGAGATCCTTTGGAGGATTGGATTAAGTAGGTACTCCGATCCAGATGATTTCTCTAATCCTGGTAGTAGGAGAGCCGGCAATATTAACGGGTATGTGATCGTTGCAATGGGTAATTTTCACATAAAAGAATAGCTCATAGTTACCTTTAAACTAAATAGATGGGTGGCCTCGATTCTTATGGCCGCAACCCTTTGATGACTGGGCATAAACTACCCCTCTTTTTCCGAAGGAACAATGTTATCGTTGCAATAGCTGAAAATTGGTAGATATATTCTTTAATATGTCTTCTCAAATAATATATAGGGTGGCCTCGATTTTGATGGCGGGAAATGATGGCAGCCCTCATTGAAAGTCGAGCGCACGCGTTATTTTGCTTGCTAAATACAAATTTTTGAAAGTGACAGCCTTCAAAGTCACTTTTAAAGTTAAAAGAGGACTTTGTGAAGAGGATTTTGCATATGGCTGTAGGTGACAACAAAAGAAACATGAAATTGTGTAAATAAAGTGTTTGCCGCATACGATGAGAA